GTCGATTGTTGTGGTCTGCGGACTTTCGGTTGAGTGTGGAACTCAAGGTTGTGTCGTCCGGCCACTTGCCCCGGTTTCCAGTTTCCCCGAATGGACGGTGCCAAGCCTTTTCCAGGAAGGAGTAAGTGAATTAACCGCTCGAGGCCGTGGAACTCTGTCGAGACGGTGAGGGGAAGTCGTCCTGGTGCTGGTGCTGGTGCTGCAGACTGCAGCAGCTACTGCTCATGGGATGAAATGAGAGCTGCAAGGCCAAGCCAAGCAAGCCGAGCCGGGTAGGATGAGGAGCCTGGGGCAGAGGTCCGCAATTAAGAGGCCGCCAGCTGCAGCTATCCCATGCTTATTGTTCGTTCTGCAGAGTCGTGCAGACACCCAACTCAACCTCACATGCCGTCAGGTAAGTAGGTATATGAGAGGCAGGGCCGGCAACCACAGAGAGGCTTGGCAGAAATGGGTGTGAAGGGCAGAGAGTGAGAGAGAGAGAGCTCTGACCTCCGAGGCCGTTGATGGTTGGACAGCTTTGCAACTAACATGGCTGCTGTAGCTAGGAGAGAACCAAAGTGATACCCGACGCGTTTGGTTGAGCTAGTCTGCAGGTCACCCGGAGACTGGATCAAGCAGACGAGTATCGAATCAAGTCTTAGTGTGAGCCAATGAGGAAAGCCGAGAGTTGCGCCAGTCCCCAGAGAAGAGGCACAGAAACGGGCGCGGCCACAGCATCGGAGAGACGAGTCGAATTGAGTTATTGCAGGTACTATGTGAGTAGTCAATGAGGGGGCTGAAAGACATGGACTGGAAATGCCTCATAGCGGAAAGACAAAAGGCAGGAGTGGAGTGTTGAGTGTTGTGTGTTGTGGTCGCGTTGTCCAAGTGGTGGCAGGATCATGTCTGTACGAACAAGTAGGTACTATTGTCTGCCTGCCTGCTTGCGTGTGTCTCTGTTCGCAAGTGAAGCCATAAGACGGCAGCGAGGGACCGGGGGAAGGGGGGCAGAATGTACCGCCTTAGCGAGAGCAAGATGGCCCATGGGCAATAAGATGATGCGAGCGTACCGGTAATTTGGAACGGGTACTGGCAGGTTCGTCTTGTGTTGACATGTCTCTGATTGCTCGTGTCTGCCGCATGTCCGACTAGAGTACTGGCAGAGTGCGGCGGCACCACTGCATGCACCAGGCGAAAGGGGATGGCTCATGGCGCATGGGCCGCAACAACCATGTGGGCTCACGGAGGTGATTTGCGGAGAGGTACGGAGACATCTTTGACGACTTTATCAGCACGGATAAGAGGCACCAAACCGAGGCTCTTGGAGGCTTGGAGGCAGGGCGTCGGTGTTGTAGACCAATCCCCTGGGTTATTCAGGTAAGTCTGCAGACGGCAAGGCCTGGGGGCGCTTCAACTGGGTCTCACCTGAGTGTTTTGAACCGCAACCCCAAGTGAAGTGTATCTGGGGATGACAAAAGAAGAGCGGGAGAAAGAGGGTTGAGGCTGGTTGGACTTATGGAACACTGGCATGGAGTTGCAGGGTGCCAGAGCCTTGAGGGTGGGAGTTGCGGATGTCGGCGGCGAGGAAGCGGAGCGTTAATGGCGAGGAATGGGGAAGACAGTTGATAGCGAGCCAATGGTGTGGACGAAGAAGAATGGGGAGACAATGAGCTCATTGCTGAGAATGAGATTATGAGATGGAGGATGAGAAGGCAAGGAGTGGGTGCCAAGAAACGTTACACAAGTGCATGGGGGCTCCATGGTTTGTGTGGTTGCGCAGTTCAAGACAAACCCGAAAGCCTCCTACCTTAGTCTCAAGACTGAGAGTCACACGACCTGGGGTGATGGAGGATGGGAGAAGGAAGGGCGGCGTGTTGTTGAGACGGCAAGGACTACGCTGCGTGCAGCAGCGGCTAACAAGTAGTTAAGCACATACGGCCAACGACTTCCCAGCGAGTAGGAGGGAGATTTGGAGATGCGAGAGGGTTCAGGGTACGAACGGTGCAGTCGGGGAGACAGGTAGCGAAAGGGAAAAGCCGAGATTCAATGCGGTCTGGTTGGGAGGCTCCACATGATTGGAGAAGCGGCGGTTCCCATTTCCCAATTTCGAGATTTGAATGTTGTGGTCATTGTCATCAGTACGGATGGTCATGATCTTCCATCTCTCACGTCTCTGTAATATGAGGTAACTACGTATTTAAAGTACAAGGCAGGTGAAAGGCAAGAACAGACAAGGGGGACATCTTCAGAGCCAGACCGGACTAAATACGCAGAAAAGCCAAGACTGTAAACGAGAGGAATTAATACTGCGTACTGCGGTAGATGAGTAAGAAAGGACGGGATAAACAATGAAGAGAAACATGCCAACAAGGCCATAGCATTGTACAAGGGGTAAAGTTTAGAAAAATAAAAATAAAAAGGAAGGGGAGACTTTCTCGCTCTGGGGCCGATGAAGAATGGAGAACAACGGAATACCTACTATGAGGTACATAGGCAGAGGATAGAACGGAGAACGGTGCGGTACCACTTGCCGGCTTGGTATTTCCTGGGCCTTGCTTACTTTGGTCTGCAAGTACTTATCCCGCACCTGCAAACGTCATCGGCTTGCGCAGGCACTGTGCGGGGGAAGCATGCGGCTAATATCATTTGACAGTATGGCGCTTGTCGCGATACTGGGCGTCTGCAGGAAAGAGGACCTGCCTTTAACACAGAAAGCCACGTACTCGAGTACCTACGCAGTGCCTTTCTTACTCTTTTCCCGTACCTACCTTAGGTTCTTTGCACTGCAGACGTACCTAGAGACGTTCTTCTTCTTTTCACCTTTTTTTTTTTTTTTTTTTTTTTCCGTCGCCATTTCTCATTTCCCCCTTCTCGACTTTTTACCTCACACAAACTCTGAAGTACCGAAATAAGCCGAGCTGAGGGGCGAGAAATGGAGAGAGAAAAATCACAAAACAGAAAGCAATACAAGAAAAAAAAAAGACAATAGGCCAACAGTACAAAAATTTGCCGGCCAATCGCTCTCACCAATTGCCCATGCATTCAGAACCAACGAAACACACACGGAACCTTCTCTCTGTCTCTCCCTCTCACACAAATCCCATCAAGCTTCTTCTGCGAATCCTGTCACACGCCATGAGGTCGTCCAAGACCTTCCAAGACTTGCACACAGTCCACACGACGGCCCTTGTCCACCCTGTGCAGACCCCGTCTTGGCCTTCGACTTTAAGGCTCTAACCCTGCGAAGCGAACCCCTCCAAAGTGCACCAACAGGGCTCAGAAAGATGCTGTGTGGGTGCTCACTCGCCGATGCCCCTCCGGCTTTGGCCCGCAGTCGCATCTTGAATCTCACATTCCCTCGCGCCAGGACGCAGCCAGCCATGCCCTGTCCACTGCCGTTCGCAAAGCCGCTTTTCTCTTTGCAGATGTCGTCTTGGCGGGTCCCGATTCGACCACACAAGGGCTGAACTTCCTGCACGGCACCGCCCTGCCTTCCATGTCATCGATCAAACCGCACAGCAAAATCCGGGAAGCTTGACTTTCCATGCCCTTTGACACATGTGCCCCTACACTACGGATTCGCGCTACGCACTACACACAACATCCCAGACAATGTGGTCATTGAGTCGCGACGGCCGCTAAGCCGGCGTCCACGGCAGACGGCTCCTCCAGCTGTTGACCTTACCTCGCAAGCCCGCACCAAGGTACGCACGCACGCCAGGGACAATTATGCCAACTGGCACGGCATCTTTGCGCTTGCCTTCTCTTCAATCGGAAATTGATAAGCTGCCTCGCTGGCAATGCCGCCCTCGAGCCAGGCGAAGGGCCTGCTTGGAGGAATGATCGGTGCCTTTCTACGTAATGACACGACGACCATCGCCACAAGCCGACTCCATCCGCTGCAGCAAGCTCCTGGCAGCTGGCAGGGGCCGTAGGGCTTCGTCCAATTTTGGTTCAAAGTACGGAGTATCTAAGTTTTGCAGCGCTGTCAGCAGACACTGTTGCTTATGTCAGGCTCTTCTCTCGCAAGCTGCGGGTTATCGAAGACGGTCACCACCGCAGGCCGCGGGTCTTTGCTACGAGGTGGCCGCGGGCAATGAGTGAGCGCCAGACGCGGGCGTTCCGCTGTGTCTAATACAAAGCACCTCACGTATTCCGTACCTGAGCCTGGCCAATGCACAACTACAATCGCGCTCTGGAGATGGCCGAGATGGTTATTGAATTCGAAGACGACGTACCGGAGCCAGCCAAGCAACGTCTTGACCACAAAGCGGATACCAATACACAAGACTGACAAACCCAAGAGTAATAAATCGTTCAGCCTAGGTAAAACGGGCATGTTTGTTAGTCAAGGACAAGTCACCCCTTGACCGGCGCGTCCCTGGTCTGCACCTTGCCCCAGACCAAAAATGCATACTCTGGTTCTCCATTCATAGGCTTTCCGGCAGCCGAATGGTCCAGTCGGCGGACTGGTGTTGTGGGCAGAAGCCCCCGTCACCCCGTCACCCCGTTCCGTGGCTCAACTAGTCGATTTGCAGCACCAAAGACGAGACACTGTGGACGGAGCTCGACTTGGCCAGAGAGGCAGACATGGCAGAGAGACCCTCAGGGCTGCGCGTCTTGCATGTCGTTTACCTGATCCCGCCATTTCCATCGGTCATGTACGGAAGCGCCGTTCCTGAGGGATCCTCATCGGAACCCACGTCAAGGATCCCGAAGTCTCGTTGAACCTTGTAGGTAGACAAAGGTCTTGGGTTCTTGCAAGTTGTGCCTCTCGTACCCTAACCTGACCTAACCTTATCTTTGTGTCTCTGCCCACGCCTGGTCCACTCATCAGAGACCCCGTCCGATGCAGCTACGTTATTGTTACTGCATCTGTCGCCTGCCTGCTTCCCGCTCTGTATCCGCACTGCGCATGGCGGTGGTGGTTGTGGTGGGTTTCCCACCCGAGTGACAGATGGACGGACTTTTTTCTCTCTCTGTTATTATGGAGATGGACTAACCAACACTGGCTGCCATTGATGTATCCGTACCTGTTTCTAGTGTTAGTCTGGGTAAGTAGCTATTTGGTTGTCAGCAACCCATTTTGTATCTTTGTCTCTTGCCTCGGTACATATTTGAGCGTTTTCTTTCGCATCAAAGACAGACTCTGGCTCAACAACTCAGCCCTGCCCCTGTTCACTGCCCCGGTCACCCAAACTGAGGGATCGGGTAGTCTCCGTCGAAATGGGAAACGAATACGCCACATTCTAGAAAAAAAGAGGAAAAAAAAAACCGAAATGATAAACCTACCAGACACTCACACTTTGCGAGCACACTTTGCGAGTGGGAAAAGTTTTTCTGTCATGCCCTTGATATCACTCACTTGATTATTAGTAGCCCCTTGATCCATCGGAGGCTAGACCAAATCGTAACAGCAACGGCCGGGTGGGCAAGGTGCCGTTCGGAGCAAAATTGGGAAACTTGACAGACTAGTTAGAATCCCTCCAAACTGTTACAGTAATAAGTAGCAAAAAGGTGACAAGAAAGGCGACTGATGGGGATTGCCGACTGCCGCTTACAAGCGAGTTCAGGAGGCATCTCTCCACACGAACGGCGAATAAACCACCTTGAAGCCAAAAGCAGTTCACGCGCCACCTTTGCAGTCATCTTCCACCAACTTTACCACAATCAGGGCCGAACCAAGGAGACAACCTGGAAGACGAAAGTCCTTGTCTATGTGCGAGGCAACTGCCAACTTGTACAGTGGGCTGGCGCAGTTCTTGGCCAAGGCAATTCGAAAGTGCTAGAGCCTAGGCCGCCCGTACAGCTGTCGCAATTCGGACCTTCGCACTCTCCTTTCCATTTGCTCTTGGTAATCCATAGTACCAGTGTACCACAGTTTACAGGCGGGCTACAAGTGACATTAAGGACTGGACTGGATTACCAAAGAGGTGTGTAATTTCGGCCTTGTTCCATCGAGGACCACACACGGCAGTCAGTCACACCGACCACGGGTCCGCGACTGGTCTGGTGCCGAGCAGTAGTAAATGGAAGTAGGCCAGACTTTCCTGCCACCCTTTTCACGACGGGGAGGCAGAGCAGGCAAGCCGCGAAGACAGGAAAAGGGCAGTCAAGTCGTGGGGGGATTTTGCTGACAGATCAAAGTTCGGTTTAGGCGGTGACTGCTGACCAGCAAGCACAGCAACAGCAACAACAACGAGAACAAGCCTTTTTCCAGCCCTCCTCCCTGGAACAGCTTATTGCTCCTCTAAGTCGTGTTGAACATGGTACCTGGCTCGTCGTACAGTCGTGCTGAGTAGCTTTGTATCGGTACATTTGTACGGCGTAGGAACCTGGAAGCTCTCGACCGGCCCCGACACACTCACTTCGCTTACACCGCCCACCCGCCGCCCGCGGCCTGTTGTGTTGGTTTTTTTTTCCCTCAGCAAAAGCGACACCACCCACTCGACGGCGACGCAAAGCAAAGCAGCAATAATAACCTGGCAGTACTTGTCAATCACCCCGATTACCTGCTTGGAGCTAACAGCATTGCCAGTACCTAGAGCGGTACCAGTACCAGTACCAGTACCAGTACCAGCGCAGTGGAGGGAGTGGAGGATCCCAGGTCTCGAGTCTCCAGTTCTCAAAAGTCTCCATTCTGCTGCTTCCCGCCCATCTGCTTTCTGCAGGCCGTGGCTAGTACCTTCCTTACCTTAGCTTTCACAGCTTCAGTAAGGTCAGGTACCTTAGCTCACGGTATCCGTACCAAGTAGACTTCACTTCCCAGCTCACTCATCTCACCTCACCTCTCAACTCTCACCTCCGGCCCTGGGTAGTCGTGGTCCTCGCCAGTCCACTCGGAGCCCGTCTGCATTCTGCCCTGAGGTCTCCAATTCCTCAACTGTACCGAGCTGCAGGGCAATCCAATCTTTCCCTCGTTAGGCCCCACCTTGACCCTACTTTACCTCAAAAGACGCTACACATCCTACGCTACCTTGCTCTACTTACACCAGGCCACCACCTACGCAGTACTCACTAACACCACATGCCCGGCTGTCGCAACCTGCCTGTCCCGCTGTATTTTTTTGCTCTCCCCTCCACTCCCCCTTGACTTCCACTTCTTACCCCCTCTCACCTCCGTCCCCTCCCAATTTCTTTGGTATTATCGACTGCTCGCTCGCCCGCCGCCCGCCCGCCTACGCGTTGTCTGCCACCAGACCGCTACCCGCCGCCGCTGTCGCCTGCTGGGGCCAGACTTTTTTTTTCTTTCGCTTTCTCGCTCCGACCGCCTCTGCTCAGGTTTCCATTCCTGTAGTCCCCCTCTCTCTCTCTCTCACTCACACACACACACACCTACATAATCCTCTAATCCCTACGCCCATCCCATCTTCTTCGTCTCATTACCTTCCCTTCCGACTTCTTCTCTCTAAAACTTTGAATACCACCTACAGCACCCCCCCCCCTTTCACTCCCACCTTTCACCACGGGGACAAAATTAGAAAGAAAAGGGGGTTGAAACAGGTCTGCTATTTTGTCCGCCCTGCGAGTCACGTCTACTTGGGCCCGAGCCCTCCCACTGCGCCGAGGCGTTCTTTGCGCCACAGCGAGCCCTTTTTTCCCTTGTCAGACCCGAGCCTTGACACTCGACGGCACTCCCGAGTCTTACTCGGCCCAACTCGACTCGACTCGACTCGACCAGACCAGACAGGCCAAAGACTTACTTGAGTCGCAGACTTTACCCCCACCACCACTACCAGCCAATTCTGCATAACCTGCCGCTGCTGCCCCTCCAGCAGCCCGCCCTGCTGTGCATAGCTGTTCATTCTTGCCAGCTGCACTGCACCCACGCTTCCCTTGCGGCTGACACCCATCTGCGGCCTATCTGCGTCACCGATAGCCGGAACCAAGAGAGACAACAGCCACACAAGGGGAAAAGAAAAAGAAGGACAGACCAAGAAAGAGGCGATAGGTCATCCGCCGTCGGTTCGCTCGCTTTCGCGTATATACCGCCTCCGTCCCGTCTACCCTTTCTCTCTACCACCAGGGCCCCTCCGAACGAACCTTCACCCACCAAACAAACCTGCTGCGCGCTCATGCCTTCCGCATCCCCCGCTATGGCGAGCCCAACAACCGCCTCGGCGGCCAGTTCCAAACCTTCCTCAGTCAAGTCTGACGGCAAAAAATCGCCGCGTTTGACCCCGCAAAATGGCCAGTCCCTCACCAACGGCAATTCGTCCCACGAGGCCCTGCCGAAACCTGCCGAGAAACCCTCCATGAAGGACAAGCTCACGCGCATGTTCTCGACCAAAGACGTCAGCCGAAACGCTATTGAGGTCCCCCATCGACCCCGCGGCTCCAGCTTTAATGGCAGCGACAAGCCCCAACCTCCCAGCAGGAAACCCTCTACCACCACCGCAGAGAAAGTCCCCGAGAAACCAGCCAGCAAACCCGCAAAACCTCCCGTAAAAGACCTTCATCGATTCATGGCGAGCCCGGACTTGCAAGGTGGCCACGAGCACCACCTCAAGTCAAGTCGCAGGCAGGAGAAGCTCTCCGACATGTGGCGTACCCTCATCGGCAAGAAGCAAGAGCACGCCGAAAACGACCTGTCGCTCGTCTCTAACTGGGTCGACACGCTCAAGGCCGAGAAGGAGGATATGGCTGGTGACAGGAAGAACGGCCCAAACGCAACGACCACTCTTGTAGAAAAGTACGGAAAATGTCAGGAGGTTGTAGGCCGTGGTGCCTTTGGAATCGTCAGGATATCCCACAAGAAGGTCGAGAATGGAGTAGAAAGACTTTTCGCCGTCAAGGAATTCCGCCGTCGCCCAGAGGAGACGGAGAAGAAGTACAGCAAGCGACTGACTGCCGAATTTTGCATTTCCTCGTCGTTGCGTCACCCCAACGTTATCCACACTCTGGATTTGCTCAAGGACGCCAAGGGAGATTACTGCGAAGTCATGGAGTTCTGCGCCGGTGGTGATTTATACACTCTCGTCCTCTCAGCCGGCAAGTTGGAGGTTCAGGAGGCGGATTGCTACTTCAAGCAGATGATGCGTGGTGTGGAGTACCTCCACGAGATGGGTGTTGCCCACCGTGATCTGAAGCCTGAGAATCTGCTGCTCACTACTCGTGGTGGCTTGAAGATCACAGACTTTGGCAACGGCGAGTGCTTCAGAATGGCCTGGGAGACGGATCCTCACATGGTGTCCGGCCTCTGTGGCTCTGCTCCCTACATTGCGCCCGAGGAGTACACAGACAAGGAATTCGACGCCCGCGCTGTCGATGTCTGGGCCTGTGGTGTCATTTACATGGCCATGCGTACCGGTCGCCACCTTTGGCGCGTTGCCCGCAAAGACGAGGACGAGTTCTATGCTAGATACCTGGAAGGTCGCCGCGATGAGGAGGGCTACGGACCGATTGAGTCCTTGCACAGAGTAAGTCTATCGGATTTGCTTATAGTATCGTCCAGAAACTAACAGTCTTTAGGCGCGCTGTAGGAACGTGATATATTCCATTTTGGATCCTAATCCCACCCGTCGCATTACTGCGTCCCAGGTCCTCAAGTCAGAGTGGGGACGCGAGATCAAGCTCTGCAAGGCTGGTGAAGAGGGCCTTTGAATAACGACTTCGTCTTGGAACTACTTCGGTGGACAGCTTCTTTATTGTCAACAAGACTTTCAACAATTCATTTCAACGGCGGAACAGCAATGACCGGAACTTTCCAACCCGGCACAATGATAGAACAATGCGTCTGCACAGACAGCGTGCGTCAACCGGCGGTCTTTCGACTCCCTCTTTCAGCCTGCTTCGATTCACACCCTTTTACACTTGTTTACCTGACGATTTTACGACACCCCCATGCGACCCTGTTATTGCGAGCATCGGCGTTTGGCGTTTTACCCTCCCATGCTGCTTACACCACAACAACCTACTGTTCAACGTACATATGACACCCCCGTCTTTGGAACGGGGCACCGGCAGAATTACGCTACAGAGCCAGGTCCACTACATCTCTGGGTTGACTTGGCCAGCAGTCCTCAAGCCCCCATGGAACGAAGCTATAATGAGCGACGGATTTAAGATGCGCAAGGGCACTCACGACCTGGAAACGGAAGATGGACTTGGTTGAGCCTCAGGGGAAGAGGCTCGGTGGGATGGTTGAGAACCAGGAGGAATCGGTAAGGACCGGATGCATAGGCCATGATGCATCGGTCTTGGGAACGATGTCTTTGGGAGACTGCATGCGTGTGCGGGCTATGGAACCGATGTGTCCCGCACATTCGCCAGAATCAAATGTTCTGGATTGATCGTGTGGTCTCCCAGCAGCAAACCCTCTAGTCCACTCGCTCTGCTCCTATAGTGAGTGGCTGTATTCTGAGCCAAAGACCTAAAGAAAGAAAAATTTAATGAACAAAGCAAAGAGGAGCGGCATCCTTAGGCGTGATCGTCTCTGTGACTGCTCTTGTCTGTGTGCTCACCACTCTTTGCCATGAATTTTGCTTGGGTCTGGCGGTCTTTGCGACCTGTCCTGGTCACCTGTCCCATGTCCTGGGCACAGGCTGATCCGTGGTAGGAACCACGGAAGCACAGGTCGAATCTATTGCATCACTGGGACACGCAAAGCCGCAGTGCCCTGTTACAGTTTCTACGATGACAGGTGGGCATTACCAGAGAGCCGGGGCGCAGTTATAAAGTTGGTCTACAGCCACATTGCTTGTGTGTTCCTGTCTATACTGAACTCTACTTCTCTACATCACAGCTTGGCAGATGACTTTGCAGCTTTCTGGATGGCCGATGACGAATAACAGGCGAATTGGGGGCAAACATAACATGGGGGCAAAAAAAACATGGGGCCCGTAAACAATTCCCGCGGCTTCAAGATCTGGGAATGGGGCCCGGGCCAGATCTGAGTACCGGGAAGAAGTGGGACCCCGCCATAGGTAATTCCCCATCGAATTGCCTGGGAAAGTTGGGGACTGCCTTTCCGGGCGGCCGGACGCGCGGTGTCCGGTGGCTGTGGAGAACATCCCCCGGCGATGAAGTCATCTTGTTTGCTTTTTTGTCTTTCTTCCTTTTCTTGGATATAACTTTATCTCGACGAACCCGACAGGACCGAACGGACGGGCGCCAACGTTTTTTTTGTGTGCCGGTGTGTGTTGTAAGGTTCCGTCTGAAGGTCCGTATTCTTTTGTCTTGTACCGAACCGAGACTTCCGGGGCAGAAGAAGGGAAAGGGGGGCCGCTGCCGAGTGCAACCTGCGAAAGTTCTTGGCGGGGGACAAAAACCTAAGCCACATGCCCAAGACCGTTCGTCGCTCGCCAAGACCTGACGATCTGGTGAAAGCAGGGCGGACAAGAACGCTTTTTGAACTTGCGATTCTTCCTGTTTCTTGCATCTTGGGTTTGAAGGAAAGTTCTGCTTTTGTCTTCGCCACGGGGGACAAGTAAGTGTCTTGCTTGGAGGGTTCATCATTACACGGTAAGTAGTTCTTACTGTTTCTACCTCTGGGACCCCCCCCCCCCCTTTTGGAAATAGCTTGTCTATTGTCTGGCAGTCTGCCTTCCTTGGCGAGTATCATGCTCAGTCCGCCTTTACAGTACTGGAGGTTTGTTCATTTGCCCTGTTGGGAGCGGTCAGCGCAAGGTAGGCTTCCCGGATTCGACACCGGGGTAAGACTGGGCTGCACTCGCCTGGCCTGGGCACGCGGACCTAGAGCACGAGACGACCCGACTCACACTCACTCACCAAAGGCACATTTAGGCCCTTGAGCTTTCCTGAGCCCAGAGCCTCAACGGAGAGGGGAAAAGCCGACGCAGCAACACCCGCACTTCTCTTACGTTCCATGGGAGAACTGACTGACAGACTTATGACTGGCAGACTGACAGACGGACTCGGATTGAAGAGCAGATTGATGGGCTATCCTGACTGACAGGAATGACCAAACCCATACACCGCCTCTTTCTTCTCAAAGCAAAACCCTACCCCTCCACGACAGAGCCTCCTCCTCCATGGGACAAAGTTGACTCATACCCTAGGCCAGAACGTACGGTTTGTTGTGTAGTCTCTCTTGAACCCGTGGACTGGCCGGCCACCCACCCCGTGGTCAACCGCACTAGAAGATCTGTCCAAGATCTCAGACAGCGTTGTTCGCCTCCGTCCTGCGGCGGGGAATTTGGAGACTAGGTAAGGAAGGTGATGACCAGGCAAAGTATGGTAAGGTAGGTATAGGGTAACGGATAGCGTAGTAGGTAAGCTGGCTAACGCTTCATGCACCGTCGCTACCCCCCTCCCCCTCATTCCGAAGTTGGGTAGACTCAGAATCTCGATAGACTCAACCAGCGTCATCGACCGATCCCTCCCCCTCCACATCAATGATCTGAGGGAAACAAAGCCCCATTCCACTCGCCCGCGTGGCGTATAGTATAGCACCCTCTACCCAGATTCGGCGGTCAGCAAAGCAAGCTCTTTGCTCTTCCCTCCCCCCCAGTCTTTCTTCTTCGAAAGAGAACTACCTAGTAGGCAGAGAATCCTAGTTTCTAGACTAGCCGCCAGCGCTACTTGGAAGCCACTCCCTCGAAGCTCCTAGGACTCAGCTGGCCCTGCTCTACACTACCTACGGTACTACCATCCCAAAAGCCCCCCCCCCCCCCTGGGCCCCCAACACGACAAAGGAAGTACAAAGAAACCCACGGCGCCGGATCCGGCTCGCGGATACCGCCGGAGCCATACTTAGGCCCCCCCTTCTCCTCCCCACCGTAACGACCACCGGAACGGGGCACGAAGGTAGTTCCCAAGCGGGTAGACCTTCTAGTGCACCGCCTTGTACCGCATCCGGAAAGACTGGACCGCACCCCGTGAAAGCCAGGTCTTCTCGAAGGCTTCCACGTGCGCGGAGGGGCCGGCGGGTCCGATAGCAGAATGACCCACACCGTTCCCGGGTCCCGGTTCCGGCGCCGGGGGGGGCACTCGCCGACACCCGGCATGGCGCCGGCAGGGATGGGAGACGGGGGCTGTGGAGACCATGCAGACATCTTCCGGGTGCTCGGCTCTACGCGCTAGAACTCGGCTCGCCGGGTCTATTCATATGTCGAAGGCCGAGCCCCTGTTGCTCGTCTTCCGGCCGGGCTGCCGCTCTGCCTCTGAATGGCTCCGGACTCTTTGTAATGGAGATACGTGAATGTCTTCGTCGCCGGTTCCAAAGCTTTCGTTGTTGCCTTACTCCCATGAAATTCATTTTCTGTATGTCTCATGTGTTCTTCTGCCAGAGTTATAACTCCTGGCTTTCCCTCCTTCAATGTCGTGAAAAAGCTGGGCTCACATCTCGTCATGTTGATAGTGCTGCCCCTTCACATCCACCTCCTGATCTATCCAGTCACAATTCATGTCACATTGCATCCTATCACATCACACATGTCACATCACACACGAGTGAACGATTTGATCTTGAACTAGAATGAAAGCCTCAAGGCCCCTTGTATATGCGTGTCGAATCTTCAGTACCTCTTGCTCCGATATACTTAAAACCAATGCGACAAAAATAGCGCACAGGTTGGTGGCTCCCGAGGTGAGAAGCAGGAAGCATAAAACACAAAAGAGATACGCGCCGAGGATATATCCCTCGACCACCATTCTTTCCCCGTAGCAGACGACCCCAAGATAATACATACAGAGAGGAATCTGCACCCTCTTCTCTGCTCATGAATCTCGTGCCAACCCGTCATTTTCCCGTAAACACCGGTAATAACCACATAAAAATGACAAAGCAAATAAACGCCCCCTGGCGCACATCTTAAGCTTCCAGTGCAAGAATCGAACGTAAAATTCTTCCTCAAACCGTGACTGCCCCTTGGAGAATAGAAGCAAACCAGAGCCGGTAGCGCCAACCGCCTCGTAACCGCCTAGCCGCGCGCGAAAATAGTCCATCGCTTTTCCCTCGAGAAAGCTGAAGTTCGTAATGATCGGTTTCGTTCATTGTTGGAGACGTGCCCAGGAGGAAGCTCTTCGTAGTTGCAGACATTAATCCCTGATTTAAATCCTATCCTGCTGCGATATATATTTTTTACTTCCTCTTCCTCCGACTGGAGGAGAGAAGCAAGGAGAGTCACAGTGGACGTGACACTCCTTCAAACTCATGCAAGCTAGCCGAGATTGAATCGACGAAAGGGCGGGGCCGGATCCCGCAGGAAATCGAAACCTACGAGTGAGACGCAATTGGCCTACTCGTTGAAGTGGAAGAATCGAACAAAGATGACAAAAGACTCTCTAAGAGTGGAAAAGGTCCCAGGCTCTGGCGCAGAGCTGCATGAACTCCTCGCGCTTTTGCCTTTGGCTCTCGGGGCTGTCCCGACCGGCGCCGAATGGTCCTCTTCGCTGGGGGGGAGGGCCATGGCCCAATGGTGGGCTGCCGTCCTCGTACTCGGCACGGGTGCGGCGCCTGCTTGCGCTGCGGCTGGGATCAGCGGCTCTGCTTCCCGGGGCAGGAGACGGAGGCGTAGGAGGCTGGTGAGCGTTTCCGTAGTGTACGATCTTAGGGAGCAGCTCGGGGCGACCACCGGCAATCTCGTGCTGTGCCTCTTCCGCTGACTTGTACTCTCTGGCACGTCCGGAAGTAGGGGGGCCATGCTGCATCTGAGGGGGGTGGCCAGGTGATGCCATGGGGGGACGGCTGGTCTGGGGGTACAAAGAGGTGGGAGCATTGTCGGGGTGGCCAGAAACCTGTCCAAAGACATCACTGATGGGCGGGAGACGGTTGTTTGTCTGGTTGGCAGGGACGTGGTGGATGTGAGAAGTGTTGGAGAGAGTGTTTGGCTGGTTTGTAATGTGACGAGACAGCGGTGCAGGATGCTGGCGGCCAGTGAAGGAGTGTCCCAAGGGGGCCGACTGGATGACACGCTCGTTGGCAAAAGACTCAGCGGAGGGCGGCAGGATGGAGAGCTGGGCTTTGTTCCTGCGAGACAGGCCGGGGGTCTTTGCTGCGAACTGAGACACAGGGTCCTTTCCAGAGGTGTCAGGGCCATCGCCCTTCGCGGATTGCTGCTGCATTCTCTGCTCGATGATCATGCGTTGCTGGTCCCTCACACTCATGCTGCGCTGGAGCTGTTCCTTCATGATGGGGTCCTGGGTAACGAACCCGGGCGAGAGGCAGGCAAGGCCGACCTCCTGGATGCCCAAGTTGTCCCTAGCAGTCATGGGCCTAGCAGTGCCGGGAGTGTTGGAGCCCGGGTGTGCCCCCTTGTTGGACAGGTCGAGTTTGCGTGGCCTGTGACGGGTCGTCGGCAAGTCGGGGGAGTTGGGTTCTTTTTTCACGACGATCTTTGGTGCACCGCTGGCATGTCTCGCGCTGGAAGGGAAGATAGAGTCAATTGACTGCGGTTGCGAGGTGATAGGATGGACGTGGAGATGCAACTTACGCGCTGGGAGGAGATGACTTGGGAGCTTGGGCGGCACCCCTAGGGCTGCCGCTGCCTGACCGATGCGCCGTCGCATTGGGAGTTCCAGTTGGTGCAAGAGGTCTTTGTTGTGCAGGCGAAGAAGCGCCGTGCTGTGCGGAAGACGCGGGAGCGAGGTCGGAAGGGAACGACGGTCTGTCGTGAGGGGCCGGAGAGGGAGCCATTGCGATCGCTGTGCTCATAGTTGCTGTTGGTAGGTTGGGAGGAATGAAGCGAGAAAAAAGGAGACGGGTCGGGTTGGGTTGCTGCTGCTGCACCCGACACGCCTGTTTGCTGTATGGTCTGCAAAAGGAGCCTCACTTGGCTTGACGATTGCCGATATGCAAGTTCGGAGAATGAAAAACCCGTGCAGAATTGATCGAGATGCAACGAGTCGTTGGTAAATTAGTAAGAGGGCGAATTGGCGATGTCGTCAAACGCTGGGTGATTGAGATGCGCGATTCTCCCTTGCTCGATGCTCCAGTTTTAAATGGGTCGAGATGGATGGAGTTGTCGACGTCTGACTTTTGACGAGGAGGTGCGCGACTGCAACTCTTTCTGTGTCAGAGGATTGGGGTCGCCAAGGCCGAAGCGAGAGGACTCGACTTTAAGTCGGTTTTTTTGGTTTGTCGGCTAAGGTAGACTTGGTGGCAGTGACTTTGGTGAGTAGTCAGTGGACGACTCTTTGTCCTTGTTTTTCTTGCCCTTTCTTGCGAAGCGCGAAGTCGCAGCAATTGACGCTTCGAGCTTGCGCTTTGAGCTTTACGAGAATGGCCGAGAGCGGGCTGGGGGAGGAATTAGCCTGGCGGGTTGTGGGTGCACTGGGCGGTGGTGGAGGTGATGGTGTGGTGCCTCTAAAGGTAAGGCCTCTAAAGGTCAAGGTACCGTAGCTGATTGCTGCTGGGCCGTGAAAAGTCGGAGCGTGGGTAGACGGAAAGCGGCTTGGTCTGGCTGACTAGGTGAGAGATGGCGGCGGGACGGAACAATCCGAAATGTTGTAGGAATAAGAAAAGAGACAGAGCTGCTTGCTGCTGCTTTTGCTGCTTTTTTGCTGGCTGGCTGGCCGCTCTTGAATTGAGACGGACTGCGACGGGGAGGAGCTGGAGCTGTGGAATGCGCAGCGGCCGATTGTGTGCCCAAAATTAGTGGTGCCTAGGAAAGGTTGTCGGCACGGATTGACTGATTGACAAAAGACAATGGGGTCGACCAGGTCGGCTCGTGTGTCAGGTGGTGTCCAGAAAAGTGAGCAGATCAGTCTCAGATCGAATCAGGGCCCGCGGGGGGTTTAGTTGGCGGAAAAGTATTTTCTGTCTTTCTCTTTTCTCGAGTCAACCGAATGGGTAGGTAGATAGATGCCCAATGTTGAGTTTTGGTTTGCGGAAGAGGGTATATGGTCGTATTAATTAGTTGGCGCGAGACGGAGTCGACTACGGGGTGGAAGCTGGTAGTAAAAGTAGTAGCGTAAGGTCCGTCGGGTCGTCAGGTCAAATCAACGAAAGAAGAAGGTTGTGGTTTGTTTTGTTTGAGAAAAAAGCGAGAGACTTGGTCTGCGACGTCGGGAGGAGAAAAGGCCAGGCGCGGGGGGGTTTTGAGAAACCGGTAAAAGGAGGAGAGGGGGGTTATCGGGGAAGGAGAAATAGAAGAAGAAGAATGGACGGGGTGAAGAAGGTTGGGAAGAGAAGCGAGCGCTGGACGAGACGAGGGTTACAAAACAGAAGTTGAAAAGGATGGAGGGGAGGGGGTGGTGTTTAAAGCAAGCGTCGAGACACCTCCAGGCTCAGGCTCAGACTCTCAATACTCAAGACTCGGACGAGGATGAGACGGGGATTGGGATTGGAACAGGCACGGGGACGGGGACGGGGACCCCAAAGTTGACAAGTCGAGGACAGGTCAAGAAAACAGGGACCAAGGGGGTAAAAGGCCATACACAGAGTGCAACGACGGGGGTGTGGTGACAATCCAGTGACAAGTTTGTCGAGAAATAAAAGTGCTGGCCACCTTAGTTTACCTCACTTTTGCACAGGTATCCGTACGGAGTAAGGTCTGTAAGGTATCCTTACGGAGAGCGGATACGCAGTAAGGCACGGGATAGAGTGGTATAAAGTGAGACTGGATGGAGCAAGACGATCAAGAACTGACCAGGGCCCTTGGACAAGCAGCTGGAAGGATGGATCATGGAGACTTGGAGGAAAGCGACACACCAGGAGGTAAGAGGGGTGGAAGGGGGGGAGGGGGTCACGGAGTAGAGGGGCAGCTGTGGTTGTTTTATTTTCTTATGAAAGGGGAACACGGGAGTGACACAATTATGGCCCAGCCGGCACACCAGGCCCATCTCTGTTACCTACTCTGTTGCTCTTTTCTCTCCTTTCCTTCTGCTCTACTCTTCTCATTCCCGCATACAGTTTACCTGTCACTACTCCCTTCAGAGTACCGCTGAGTTCACCTCAGTAATCCATCGATACTACAACAAATGTCGGATGTGCTGAGGGTTTCCGGGATCTATGCTGCAAGAGATGCGATTGACTGGCTGATATATACGTACTTCCGTACACAATAGGTATTCCAGGGCAGGAAGGGGGGAGGGGTGGCTTCTCTCATCGGAAGGGGTGTGTGTATAACGCCCATGTGCTTGCTGTACGTAGTATACATACTACAGGATTATGGATGCACCTGCCAGCAGTTCCAGCTTGACTTGCCCCCTCTCTCAGTACGGATTACCTTACGAAGTATCCTGATCATGGCACTCATGCCACAAATGCGATTCCACTGTGGTATTCTCCCACTATCCAGCACACACACACACACACACACACACGACAGAGAGTGTCGTGGTGACATTGGCTGGTGGTGCGGCGGAGGCAGTCTAGACTTCCAGGCCACCTCAGAACCCAGGCCCTCGGTCTTTCAACACTTCATTAACACGGAATTGATTGGACAGCAACATCTGACGGTTGCGGCCGTTCTTCTCTTGTTCTCCTCTTGCTTCTACGCTTCTACGTTTCTCCCCTCGCCTCCGCCTGGTGAAGCACCACTCAGTGTCAGGAGCGACGACAAGATGCAGAGTGGCATCCGTCGGCTCGGGTGCGCTGGGCCTTCTCCAGCTGTTGGTTGGTTCGCAGGCGTGTAGCAATGGTGGAGGTGCTACTGGGCTACCTGGTACTTTTCGCAGAGTGGCAATGTGGTTTGCCTCAAACAACTCGACCACCTTACGCAGAGATACTACTAAACCTAGCATAGGCGAGGACAGGACGGGACGGGACAGGGCTGGGGCTGTCATCCACGCTGCTGGAAAGACTCCAGTTCAAGGACAGAGAGAGAGAGAGCACTGTTTAACTCCATCGTTTTGCATTACTAGAGGATTACCGCAGTACATATAGACGCTACCCTACCCTCGAATTCTATACTATTTAACCTTAACCCTTTTCTTACTTATCCTTTTTTCTATTTTACCCTCTCCCTCGTTAAGGGATCGCTAGAATCGTAGTTTTAATAGCTTATTAATAAGTTAGTATTATTATTTAAAAATAAATAACCTACTCTTATATATAAGTACTAAGAGTTTTATTATTATAAAAATAGTAATAAATATACTAAAGTACTTGAGAGAGCTTTTTAATAGATTTTTAATATTATTTAAAGTAATTATCCTTAAGCTATAAAAAAAAGCCGAGGTACTATATTAATATAGCCCTATCCGTTTTGTTAATATTAATAATACCTTTTTTAATATAAGATATATTAATAATACTTTACGGCTACGTTATTATATTTTATAAATCGTACTTAATATTAATAAAGCTTTTAGTATTATTTATTAAGTTTTTTATTAAAGTCGTTATTATAAAATTAGTTTAGTTATTAATATCTTAATAAGTATTTTAACTTAACTTAAAGGCTCTTATAGCTCTTAAAAAGAGGCTTTTAAAAAACTTATAATTAGACTTTTTACTTATTATAAATAAAGCTATTATAGTTAAAGCTATAGTACTACTTATAGACCTTAATAATAAGTAATTAGTAATATAATTATTTTTCTTTTATAATAAGCTTAAAAAAGTATCTTAATTTAAGTACTAGGTAAGTATTATACTATTTTATTAAAACTATATTCTTATATTTGTAACTTAAAAAGAATTAACTTTCTTCGATAACAAGGTACTTAGAGAGAGAGAGAGAAAGAGCGGAGGAAGACGGTGGGAATCCTGATCGTGTTCAATCTCAAAAGGGGCGTGGGATGTGGTGAGCGGGGGCGCCGCTTGACCTCCGTACACAGTAGGCTGTTTGACATTGAAGGTCAAGTTTCCCCCGAGTGGGTTCCTGCTCTTTTTTCCTCCTTGCCTGTTCACATCCTCCCACTTCCTTGTCTAAATCCTCACTGAGCTCTTTCGGAACCCCTAGTCCACAACTCCCACACAGTCTACACTTCCTATTCGGGCTCACATACAAACTGACGGTGAAGGGATGACAGGACTGACTGGAGCTCTCTGGCCGATGATGCTGATCAATCATCCAACCCACCACGAGATGGATACTCTCAACGACCTCCTAATAGCAGAATCCGAGAGAAACAACTATCGCGGGCCCATGGCATGATGAACAACAATGGCAATGCTCCCTCCCCTCTTGTTCTCTATCCCAATCTCGATATCCATGCACAGACGAGAACTGGCTGCAATGCAAGCCCAGCAACTAGAATGATGAGGGGGAAGCTACCACAGCACCTCGGGGAAGCTAAGGCAAGGCACCTTTGCTCATGTGCCTGAGGTGCCTGGCATGGCATACCTGCCTACCTACTTGGGTGCGGATACTTCTTGCAAGTCACTCCATACCTACCACAGCATGGTAGTTACCTACTACCACATCTCAAGTACGGGAAGCCATCTCAGCAACGCTACCACGGTACGATGCCTGGTGGCCAAAGGACGGGTACCTAGCGCGTGGTAGTGTCTTCCACCATGGAACTCTTCTACCGTCACAACCTATCGAAAGGTACGCTGTGTCGTGCCTCACCACCAATCGACGGCTACCACAGGCGAAGCTCACAAGGCCGCGACGGTTGGCCCACGCTGCGGCAGGAATAGCAGACTATTGTTTCTGATTGGGTTCGATGCCAACCATCCTGCAACACACGAGCCACCGCTCACCCACTCGCCCGTGCCCCTCACCCTCCTCAACTACGTAGTGCACTACGGAGTACTGCGTACCCTTCCCCAAGGATACACAACTTCTCCCACCAGATTGTCAGGATTGGCACAGACTGCACTTCATCAATCAAGCACCATGGGCCATGGGTTGGCCTTTGACGACACCGGATGACAATTCTCCTCGTGCGAGACAAGACATCCCCGACCTGCCAGGGTGACCTGTAACCCTGCCGAGTATGAGGAATACCTGCTCAGCCTGCTCCCAACACGCCCTTACCTATGTCATCCATGTATCTACCGTGATTACCGCACTCTATCAAAGACGGGGAAACTCAACAGACAAGCAATCGGAACCATCCTCCTTTGCACTTAGATACCAATGTCAAGATCGAGCCAAGGAAGGTCCGAGGCGCAACAATAAGGTGACGGATATGCTATCCAAAAGACCAGACGGAAACGCCCCTGGCGGGGCTTCAATACACTTAACTCTGTCCCTAGACAACACAATCCCCTCACTCATTTTCGCCCTCTTTTCGATGTCGAAGCTCGGTTCGGTAGGCTTGCCGTGCCGTAGACTACAGCAGCACAGAATCATGGCGGCCTCATCCGACGAGAATCACCGCGGCTCAAAGTAGAGGACACTGAGTTCTCGTTGCATCGCGATAAGTGGCTTGGCACCTGTTTCGTCATCCGCTTCCGAAGCAGAGGCAATTCAGAACCGCTAGTCAGCTCAGCTACGCCGCTACCACGCAACACTATCTGTATCGTATAAACCAAAGACGACCCAAACTATCACGACTCCATTTCTGAGACCCTCGTTGACGTACGTACCACCAATACGTACGCAGTGCAGTTCAGGTCTCCGCCTTCAGCTCAACTACCTACGTGCAACACGACTGTGGTGCCCAAACAGCCCTGGCAACACCCAGAATTCAGCCAGCGCTCTCTCACAACTTTTGACTTTCGCTCACCTTGCGAGATCAAGCCCCTGGCACTAACCACTTCCGCACCTGCCATGACGGGGCCTGCCCTGCCAGTGGATCATCCAAAGCCGGGACTCGGTTGTTTCAACCGCAGCATCACAGCGATATATGGAAACGTCCATTGCTTTCACTGCCGTGGAGCACCACGCAGTATTAGATGGCATGCTTTCGACCAAGTCTACCTCCTACGTGCTAAGTCTGTCGTGGGGCGCAAAAGGACGGAGGTGCTCCATGGGTTGCCCATCAGTCGCGATATTGGTACCAACCCGCTGTCGCCGAGGCGTCAACCACGCCTTGGGCAAGCCGATGATCTCGAGACGGCAGCTTTCAACCTGTCACCGGACCCTGAAAGACACTGCCAGACGGCCAGCCCGGGTGGCCTGTGCCTACGCCATCGCGTCTAGATATCCTGGTACCGCCTGCGCCTGCGCTTGGTGCCTGTGCCTGTGCTTTCCCGCACACATTGCCGGCCATCTCCAAACTCCTAATGGCCCTTGTGGTATTATTAAATGCTCATTCTTCGTCACTGCCGCACGCCAGCGCTGCAGCCCCCTTGCGGGCCACATCAGACGGAGCGATCACTAGGCAGCTCTGGCCCGTCCGGGCGTCGGCCCTTCACGATTCTCTCCTATCCGGCAGATGTTCAAGCCACTTGCGGCCCCCAAGTGAGAAAACCCGAACACTGGGGGCGACGACGGCAATTGGAAGGTGAGAACAATTTCTCAGCTACCTGCGATCCCTTGGTGGGGCTCCCGAGAAAGAGGCTAACCTGTACATAGCATCTGCGTCGCGACAAGCACATTTTCCAACCGAAGCCTGTGCGAATGTCTATCGCCCGCTATCTTGGCTCACCGTGGAAAACTGGACCGAAAAACTTCATAGAGGCATCCATGAATGGAGGGGCATCCGATACTCGACAATCGAAAAGACCTTGCCGTGTGTTTCTCGAATTACTTTTTTCTCTTTCGGCCCCATAGTGCCACTGACCAGACTACAAACGATCAAACCGATTCATTGCCAACCCAACTATAGAGCCTGAAATTTCCGTCGATAGGTTCGGAATATTTCAACCAAACTTCAAACGAGACTCTCACCGGTGAAATATAGTACCTCTCCACCTTTTCCTCCGCCAGTATCACCCCTCCACGTCCGCCACCCCTGATCACACCTGACGGACCCAGAGACTCCACATGGATGAATCTGCACATGATAGATTGCCCAATCGGCCGTCCGAGTCTCAAGTCTGGTCAGCCAACAGTATGGGTCGTCTCTCGCTCCTGTGTCGCGCGCGGCGGCTCACGACCAAGCAAGCTCTGGACTAGAGACGGCGTTTCCGCTAGCCAGAAAGTTATTTCCTCGACTCTGATTGCTCCTCGCTGCCGCGTAGAAAGCACCATATGCAGTCGCTCGGGTTGACGTTGACAACAGCTGGCTTTCGTATTGACCTGGGCAGCGTTGTTGTGCTCAATCTTGTCTTGAGTCTCCGCTCGCTGGATTTCCGGCCTTGACAGCCACCACTGGCGATCGGTAGCCACTCGTAGGGCGGCAGGCCTTTGCTGAAACCCGCCCCTCGTTCTATTGACCTGACCTGAGCCTCCTGAAGGCTGAGTTTGGCGAGATTAGCTGGTGCCGGTTCACTCTGTCTCTTGTCTTCTCCGCACGGCAATGTCATGGCCAGGCAAGGCCAGGAAGAGCAGGGGGGTTGGAGGGGGAAGATCCATGTGAAAACGTCCCTGAAGATCCTGGCCATATCCCACGACCGTTAAGCCGCAACCCCATGTGTCAATGTGTCACCAGCCTCTTTCTCTTTGTATCACAGTTGGCAGAGAAGAGGCTGAGTTGAGTTGTGGCACAAGACGCACGTACCATTGGCATGAAGTTGATGAGTGAAATGCAGAAGAATACGAGTCGGAGAGTTGCAGTATTCTACATGCCGTCGTCGTCACCGACGCCAGAGCCACCTCCTGCGCACGTCGCCAACTGTCAAATTTCCCGTTTCTTAATGCGTCCATGCCGATTCACAACGTCTAGATGGGATTGATATGATTATCATAGATGAAGGTAGTATAACCACGACGTCGACGGATACTCTGCTAATACCTCTTTGGTTCTATCAGTCTTCAGTACGGATAGATACGAATGGTCGTTTCTCATCCAGTATGTCAGCACCGATCTCCATTCGCATTCGCACCCCTCACCGAACGACATGTTCACGCCCCCCATGTAACCCCCAAACCCCACCACAGTTCC